GCCTACTTAGCTAAACTGCTTTCTAAGAGCCCAGAGAAAATGAAAATAAACAAGGGAGAAAAGGAGAAAAGGGTGCTTGTGATTGGATTGCAGCATAGAAGACAGAATAGCAGAGTAGATGGAGCTCTAGGCATGGTGTCAGAAGCACTGAAACCATTTTGGTTCTGCCACTTTCACGTTGTATGACCCCCAGAAAATCACTTCATTTATGTATCTATTTTTCCCCAGTGACTAGGGTCAGAAAGTGGATGGCTAAGCACAAGTATTGGCACAATCAGAAAAGCTTGTCCATGAGTAAGCACATGATGCACACCCAAACACCAGCATATCAATTAGTCAGCATTTATTGAACACCTACTCTAAAACCAGTAATTACTACAATAATGACATTGTGTAAACAAAACAGGTAACCTTTTCCATACCAGCTGGCTATGGAAGTGAGTGAGAGAGGACTAGTATTTCCCTAGTAGCAGCACAGAGAACTCCAGATCAGAAGCACAAAAATCAATGGATTCTATATGGTCTCTCTGGAGCTCCCCTTTGGTGGAGCTTCTCTCTGCCATCTCTGATTTTTCGCCTTAAGGGTGACTCTCACCAATGACTTCTGTGGCCACAGATAAGAGTGTTATATTCAGTTAGAGTTCTTAAAAGCATTCACACTCTTGTTTACCACTAGTAGCTTAAAAGTCAAATGCTTTCTTATTATACTTTTAATTTTTAAAGAAAGGCAAGTCTTCACCTTATCATTGAGTTAAAACATACAGAATTGCACATGGAGTATAGGGGCAAAGAGTTCCATTGAGCTGGTCTTGGTTGCCATAGCGTCTGAATGACCACTTAAATCACTCTAGGGAGAGTCATCCCAAAGAGGACAAGGTAAATTGCAAATGTGTTATCATTTATGTTCCTTCATTGCATGTTTTTTACAATTGCCAGTGAGCTAATCCTCCCAACAGGCCTGACAAGACAGATCAATACTATTATCCCCTTTAGTGTACGATACTATTATCCACTTTAGGGCTCATTATCTTATCAGCCAATTACTCCATCTTTAGAGTCCCATCAGTGTCCTCTCATAGCAATACTCCATCTTGTGATTGTGAGCTTGTGTTACTTATGAAACACTAAAAATATTACCTTTGCAAGAAAGGTCAGAGCTAGGACTGGTGGCACAAGAAACATCATGGGACTCAAAATCATCGGCACTCAAGGTTATTCAAATGCAAGGACTCTAGGCAAGAGGTGTTGGGCAGCAGTCCAGAGAAGAGGACCACTTGCCCACTCACTGGGACCTCACAAGAGGATTCTGTTTGTGCCTCTATAAAGCAGGGGCTTATTCTAACTTTCATCTCTTGCTCTCAATTCTGCTTTACAGAGCAGTTAGAACAAAATGAGACCATAGCTGTGAACATCCTTTGGAAGAAAATGCAATAGAGAAGGTGATAGTGATGGTGTGTATCAAAGCAATGATAAAAACCATCTTTGTTCTTTGTACATATTTAGACCACAAAGTACAAACAAAAGGGCTCAACAGCCTGTCTAGCTGGAAGGTTTCAGTAAGATGAAAGTCTGCTCATGCGGCACATGAAGAAATTAAAATTTGCTTGAAGTAACCCAGTGAAGCAACTGACAAGGTCTAGAAGGCAGAATCAAAAGTCTCTTGTAAGATAATCAACTCATCACAGTTTTCCTAAGATTTTCCCAGTAAACAAGATGGCTGGTCATGCATCTCTCAAACTGAAGCCCCACATCTGCACCCTTCTTGGACTAAGCAGGTACAAGGAGACTGTATCTAGCTTTCTCAGGACTGGCTTACCTAAGGACAGGGCAGGATTCTTGGCCACTGTCTGGAGGATGAAGCCTGAATGTTGGAATCCTTGGTGGTCACCAAACCCACCTTCCCATCATCAAGACTATTTTTTTCAGAAACACCCTGAAAGAATTCAATAGCCTCTGTTGAGAGGCTTATTATACAATTAGAGAACCAGAAAATTCACCTTCAGCAACAACCTATTTTCCTCAGAGTGCTTCCAGGCATTGGCCCCCTGCCTAACAGCCTTGTCACACCTACTCTGGCTTTGGAAATCCACATGGACTACAGACACATAATTATGTCATAATGTTCCCTTACCAGGAAAGTTCTGATGAATTTTCAGAAGAAAAGTAAATATTTAGCATCTTAACACCATTGCCAATTTGAGCATGGTGTATAATTATTAATGTCCATATCTTAGAAGTTTCCACATGTATATGGTTTAGTACAAAATCATGTGATCAGTTGAGGGTAATACTCTGACCTTTCCAATAATCTCAAGTTAGAATTTTTAAATCCAATAAGTGTATTGTAGATGGAAAAATTTAGGGGCTTAAAAGTGCTCCTGCCATATAAGATCTAAAGTGGCATTTTCTTTATGAAGCAAAACAAGCCCTCTGTCTTTCTCAGGTATGCAGACAACATGAATTTGACTAAATATGGATGATGTTCTTGTATGAAATGGGGAAAAGGTGAGAGAAAGGGATCCTTTTGAGCCACTAGTGCCCAGGCCTTGGCAGTGCCATCCCTCTTCCACTCATATTCTGGAAATGATCATCCAGCATCTCTGTTAGGGTCAGTGGGCCCAGTGTCAAAGCCCTCCTGAGGCTGATTGGTTAGAGTGGCTGGATAGTACAAGATGCAAAACTCAAAAGACATGACAGAGGAGCTACTGCTTAGGTGATACTGGGAGTCTCTGTGGGTAGGGGGAAGACACAATTCCCCTGATGATTCTAAATGTCAAGTGATAACATGGGTGGGGGATGGTAACACAAGCACCAGGAGAGCTCTTTCTTCCCAGAGAGTGGCTGGACTAGAGAGAGGTGGCTACAGCCTTGTGTACAGGAGAAATGGCCAGAGCTGTGTGGAGAATCAGGACACTGGCAAATGAGTTCTAATTAAATTAGAGCTAAGATTTTTGCCTTTGTTGTTCCATGCAACTTCTGGAAGTTTTGTAGGGACTTTGGATTCTTTTCAGAGTTATTATTATTATTATTATTATTATTATTATTAGAGATAGAATTGCATTTTGTGGCTTCAGGTTGACCTCAAACTCTTAGATATAAATGATCCTCCTGCCTCAGCCTCCCCCAAGTGCTGTGACTACTGGGATATGCCATCATGCCCACTCACAGATATTTTTAAACGACTAATTTAAAATATGTAAGACTGCAACTATGTTATGAAAAAAATTTTAAAACTTCAAAAATATGTAATATAGTTATTTGTTTAGTGTCTGTTTGTCTGTCTGACTATCATTTTTGAGCCCAGGGCCTTGTGGATACTAAACACCTCCCTTGGCCCTGTGTTTCTTTTTTTAATTCTTTAAATAACAAAATAACATGGCAGATCTGATAATTGCTCTAATCTTGAAATAATGGTGAGTATAAATTATATATATAAACAACTGCAATATGAAAATATCTGTGAATCCTATTAGTTAAAATAAAGTCACAGTTATGGTGAACATCACTGTGGTTTATTGCCTTCATTTGTAATTGAATAAAATGCTAACTTTTAGTTATAGCAGAGGTCAGCAAACTTTTTTCTGTAAAGGGACTGATGATAAACATTTTAGGTTTTATGGGCCATATGGTCTCTGTCGGCAACTATTCAACTGTAGAAGTAGTGCGAAACAGCCACAGATAATGTGTAAATGAATGATCGTGGCTGTGTTCCAATAAAATTGTATTTATGGATAGTAAAACCTGAGTTTCATAAAAGTTTTCCAAGTCATGAAATATTATTCCTCTTTTGACTGTGTTTTCCAACCATTTGAAAATTTAAAAAATGTGTAGTTCACAGGTTATGAAATAAGAGGTGGTGATGTGCTAGTGCGCTATAGTGTGTTGACCAATGAGTTTGAGGGTAGGGAGATGAAATTTTGCTTTTCTTCCAGGCCCGAAGACTTCATACACAGGAGAAATTTAGGAATTGCCATCCAAGAGGAGATAAGGAATTTTTTAGACCCTGAAGAGGGAAGCCCAGCATAGGTCCATTCCATGAACAGCTCTATTTAGGGAATTAGTAGGAGTAAGGAGTATAGTACTAGAGGCTTCCTGGAACTCTAGATGTGCCCATTTGGGCTAGCTCCCTGAGGAGCTGGGGTGTCAACACAGCTACAAGCTTCCACTGAAGCATAGGTGGCCATTTAAACACCTATTGATGTGGCTAAAACCATTGTTCACTGTAGTACCAGCTTTACCTCTGTGCCCAACCTAGAGTCTGACACACAGTAGATATTTGAACACTGTATATTTAATGAGTGAAACTAAGTTCTGCAAGTGGGATCAGCAGGAGATGTAGCTACAGGAGATGGGGATGACAAAGGCTAAGAAGGAATTGCTGTTAATGTTGAGTGCTTTTGCCTTGATTGGGGCTATTGGCCTGTAAGTTGTAGTCTTCTGATTTTAAGTTCCAGCCACATGGTCTGAAAATAAGTGCATTAGTCACTTTTCCACTGCTAGGACAAAGTGCCTAGTATATACAACTAATAGGAGAAAAGTTTATTTTGGCTTATGGTTTTAGAAGTTTCAGTCAATAGTTGGCTGGATCCAAGGTAGAAATATCATGACACAAGGGTATGGTAGAGGAAAGCTGCTCAACCCATGTCAGCCAAGAAGCAGAGGAAGAGAACAGAGCCAGAGAAGAAGCCAAAAACAGATATTGTCCATACCATCACTACCTGATGACACACCCAGAAATATCCTTTAGTAATACTCTAGGTGTCTCTCAAGACAGTCAAATTGATAATCAAGATTACCATCACATAAACACAATAGTCTCTTTTTGCACCCCCCACAAGGGGGCTACATACCCTAGTCTCTTACATTCAGGTAAGATCATATGATGGAATTCTGACCATAAAACGGGGTGGAAGTGATATGTAATTCTTCCAGACTTGCCCTTTAAAACGTCTTGTAATTTTCCATTGTTTATCTTTCCATTTCCTGCACATGGCTGGAAGAAGAGGGTTCCAAGATACTAGAGCCACACAATGGAAGAAGCAGGGGCCTCTGAGTGGTCATCTGAAGGACAGATCCATTGGACGAGCCACCCAACTTTCTGACACTGTGAGAAATAAATTTTGTGTTAAGTCACTGAAATTATTTTTATTATAGCAGTATAACTTAGTGATGGTTATATACTTCATTTTCATGACCAGAGAGAATTTGTGATTCTTATGAAGCTTTCTTAATTTGAATTCCCTAGAAACAGACACTGAGAGACTATTAGAGGGAGGGGATATGGTCAAAGTATGTTATGCATATGTATGAAAATGTCACAGTGAGACCTGTTCTGTATAATTAGTATGTACTTATAAAAGAGAAGCAGGCCCCGAGACAAGGATTCAAGTACAAGTAGTTATTTCGGAGGTGCAGAAAATACCAGTAGGAGAGTAGAACAAGTGAGATGGGAAAGAGAAAAAGCTAGGGAAGATTGTTTATTTACTAGGCCACCTACCAGAGTGGGCTACTAGAGCTCCTGTATGGAAAGTGAACTGATATAAAAAGCATGACTCTGAATTCTCCTGTCCAAAGGGAGAGGGGCTCAGAATGCATATGTCACCTCTGGAAGTAGGGTTTAATTTCCCAGCCCTAGAGGCTGATAAGGCCTTGGGATAAAGCAGCTGGAGAAGATGCAGATACTGTTGGAAATAGGCTGGAGCACAATAAAGTGATAATGCTCCAAGAATTCCAACAATATCAGCTATAAAATAACCTTCCTTTACAAACTTTTTCTTGGCGTTAGATCCGTTGGTTATCTGTGAGAACTCAGGTCTCAACAATTTTGTTTTCACTCCGTTGGGTCCTCAGCTACTGATATGTGAATTGTCCATAGATACAAAAACTTGAGCACAGTAATGGAAGAGGTAACAAGAAAGCTAGAATATATTCTTAGTATGCTAACACAGATTTTCTGAGTCTTTGGGCCTCTCATCCCTTCTTTTGGAGCCTCAGTTTCTCCATCTGTACATTTCAAAATATTTGAGTGCTTCCCTCTGAGTCCTTCCATGGCTAAAAATTGCAGCTCCAAAATTGTCCTACTCTAATGTCGCATGCGGAGCACCTGTTAGGGAGGGATGAGAGAAGCGCATGATCAGAGAAGACGGAGGAAATAACTTACACGTGAGAAAATCTTTGGGGACTAGTAGATAGGGGTTTATAATTACCTCAACTGGGATACAATCAGAGCATTAGCTGAATTATTCTGTAGTCAATCAGACTGGTATCCAATCCTTGACAGACTCACCAACTATGTCATAGACTCCAAAGCATAATTTTGATGGAGACTACAGATTTATCATATGATTTAAATTCTTTCTCAGGAGAACTAATGTTTATTTAGTGTGTTGGATAAAAGGTATTCTAGACTGTTATGGTTTAGATCTGTAGAATGTCCCTTAAAACTCTCATGCGCTCAGAGGTGAGGCTTTTGGAAAGGGATTAGACCATAGGGATGCCATACTCATTAGTAGAGTAACCCACTGAAGACTTTAGAGCTGAATGTGTGGTTAGGAGGTAGGGTCTGATGGGAAGAGGCAGGTCACTGGGAGTGTGACCAGGAAGGGTCTACCTCCCTCAATGCCTTCTCTCTTCACTTTCTGCTTCCTGGCTGCCACAGGATAAATTATATCTTAGGATTTGGGGATCTTATTTAAGAAGTCATTTTCTGCTCTAATGTGACAATGTTCCTATATTTTCTCCCATTATTTTAATAATTTTATCTTTCCACATTTAGGTCCGTATGTGTGGTCAGAGACAGGGAGCTGACTTGATTTTTCCCAATAGAGTCAACCAGTTTTCATAACACTTAATAAATATTCCATCCTGGGCTGGGGATTTAACTCAGTGGTTCTGGCGCCTCCCTTGCAAGTGGAAGGGTTCAAGTTTGATCCCTGGTACCAAAAAAAAAAAAAAAAAATTCCATCCTTTCCCCAATTATCATGAGTCCTTATTGAATATGATTGTTTCCAGAGCCCTCTATTTTGTTCCACTTCTCTCCTTCTCTGCTTCTGTGTCTCTACTAATCCTCTTTATGTAAAATATTTTGACTTGTAGTATATCAATATCATATAGAATGGATACCTCTTCTTTGCTCTCAAAACTGATTTTGCTATTCATGTACCATTATTCTTCCATATACATGCTATAATAAAGTTGTCAAGTTCCTCAAAATATTTAGGTAGAATTTTTATTGGAATTTCATCAAAGCTGTAGATTAATTTAGTGAGAATTGATATTTTTATACTAAGCCATCCCATCTAATAATGTGACATATCTCTTTACGCTTTCACATTCCTCTTTGGTGCTTTTCAATTGTTTTAATTTTTTTGAATACATAAAAATTCTATGTACTTTATGTATTTTTGTAAGGTTAGTTTAGAGATATTTATAATTTTGTAAATATCAGCTATATTGGCTGACATCTTATTTTCTATTTTATTTTTCAGTTGGCCATTGCTGGAATAAACTATTCCCATAGTATATTTAATAGGGCAATCTGTCACATTCTTTCACGCTACCCCAGTGGTGACCAAAGGCATATGTTTACAATGTAAGTGGACAGGGTTTAGTGTGTGGTTTTAGCAAAACTGAAACAAAACTACCAGATTATATGGGACCCTAAAATGTATACATTTAATGAAAGATTCTCATGAAGTGAGCTCTCTGGTTCTGGAAGTATCCAACCTGACTTTAGAAGCAGAGGCAGAATAGCATTAAGTTTCATGTACATTCACTGGTTGCTTTTGTCCTCTCCTTAGCATACTAATTTTGTGGCTGGCTAGTTGGGGTGGGTGAACTTTTCAGGGACAGGAAATCCACCACTTTGTGAAACAACCCAACCCGTAACAGTACAGCTCTGTTGGTATTTTTCCCATCCATTGAAGCAATAGTACACTATCATATCTTTTCATTATGCTTTCACTGTACTTCATGTACATATCTGCATAATGTTTATCGTTTTATATTGCAGTAACTTTCTTGCATATCTTGTAGGCACCAGAAGATATTGAATAAAGAAGCCTGTACAGAAGGCTTTTATGTGTGTTTCCTGATTCTTTTGGTATCCTAACCTCTTGGACATTCAGCTGCCCACCCTAGTGCCATTGTGTTTACTCTTCTTTGAGAGACCACTTATATTGTTCAATACCACTTTGAAACACTACTACATCCACTCACTTAGCTTGGGTCTATGTGATTTCATTTCGTGGGTTCCACTGGTCACTTATTCAGGAGTTATTCCCTCTCTTCAGGCTATTACTGTGTAGTCAGGGCATTCAGGCCACTCCTGCCACTTTCATGGGGTATAGGAGCTGACATCCCAAAATAGCTTCTGAGGGGCCAAGTGATGCAATTCAGAAATGCAGAAAAGTTAATCACCTTTGTGGTCATATTTTGACCAATGGAAAACAGGTGAAATTCTTCCCTTGCCTCCTCTCATAGACTGTTCCAAGAACAGTTTTGCCAAAGAACGCCCTGTATGATGAAGCAAGTATGCTGAATAAATGATGAGCTGTGTGATTTTGTGCTTCATGATGTATATTAACACATGATATATAATAATCACTGTATCCATATGTGTCTTGGTTACTTTTCTTGTTGCTGAGACAAAATGCCCAACACCCAAAGTTAAAGGAGGAATGGTTTATTTTGACTTGCAGTTTGTAGAGGTTTCATTCCACAATTCGCAGGCTCAAAGGCAGGGTGGCATGGCAGAGGGCCATCGCAGAAGAGAAACAGTCCCACAGCAAGATGGTAGGTGATGAGAGCACATTAGCCTTCTTTCTGTCCCTTATTTTATGCATGTTATCCACCCTAGGGCAGGTGTAGCACTCACACCCTTAATTCTAGCCAGAACTATACCAAACCAACCAGTGGACTGATTTAGTAATATACATCATTGTTCCCAGCACCACACACTCTAGATCAAACCACCTCTGAAATCTGTCCACCCCCCCCAACAATTGCATGATATTTTTGGGAGGACATCTAAACATTTTGCCCCAATCCCTCAAAGACTCACTCACATCCCTTTATTCAGAAGGCATTTTAGTCCATCTCTAAGAGTTGCCAAAGTCCTAACATTTTCAGCACTGCTGAAAAGTCAGAATCCAAAGTCCCCTCTGAGATTTAAGGCAAACTCTTAGCTGCAAGCCCTGTACACATGAAAAGAAAGTTAAACATTGTCGACATTCGATGGCACAAGAGACATTTCTGTCCCAAAAGGTACAAATAGGGAGATAGAAAGGAATGGAACCAAAGTAAGTCCAAAATCTAGCAGGGAAAACATTAAATTCCACCATTCCACTTGCAGCATCCCTGGCAATCTGTGGCAAATTGTGAACTCCAGAGGGCTCAGGTGGCTCCATCCCTATGACGCTATGTGTAGTCGTAGCTACCACGGCTTTTCTCATGGGCCAGCTCTGCTCCTTCCTGGCAGTTTTCCTCAGATAATCCACATTCCTGGCTTCTCCAAACTTCTGGGGTCTCCACTGAACCTTTTGCTGTTTACACTCACAGCTTTGCACACTGCCCTCTCAGGGGCACACTGCCTGACTTCCCAGACCTTCTTCTGAAATCTGGGTGGAAGCCTTCCGGACCCCACAACTGTTACATTCTACATGGACCTAAAATCAGCCCCATGTGGATGATGCCAATGTCTGCCACCAGCTGGAGTAGTAACCAGGCTTCCTTCTCTTTTGGGTGTAGGGCTCAAGTGCCTATGAACCAATTCCTAAGGAACAACTTCCCTAGGCCATCACCATTCTGGCACATGATGCTCTGGGCTCTCCTCTCACAGAAAAGTCTTTCAGCTTTGCAACACTGAGGCTGCGAAAGCTGGAGTCCTGCTGGTTCTTGTGGTGTCCTCAGCCATCTTTTCTATTGCCTTCCTCTGAAATACTTGGTTTTTTCTTTCTAGTCTTTTCAGTGACCAATTTTTCCTCTGTTCTATATTTGTAGGCCACAATTTCACAGGGGCTTCCTTTCTGGGCAAACTCACAACATTTTAAATCATTCTACTGGGCTTTTTGTTCTCGATTCTCAACATAGATCTGACTAAAAACCCCCAGCAACAGCTATGCCATGGCCTTTACATTAGACTGCCTTGAAATTTCTTCAGCAAGATTAATTTGTCTACCACACTTCATCTCTGTCTCAGGCAAAGCTTCTGGACATGAACAAAATGCAGACAAACTTTCTGCCAAGACATAACACACTCCAAACCTTCTGCTCTTTCTGGGATGCCAAATTATTCCAGTACACATAGAAAAGTGCAAAACTCAGTTACAGGTAGTAGACTTACTAATTTAAAGTCTATCCCTTGTCCCCATCACCAAACTGAACAAGTTAACACCTGGGCTCACACACACCAAGGAAATCTTACTGAGTAGCATTGCCATAGCATTGAGAGAAGGGCAGCAGCCTGTTGTTTCCCCAAGATACTGCACCCTACTTCTATGTCTAATTCCCAGCAGGTGCTTCAAGAGTGAGAAATAGTAACTAACATTTGATTTTATGATACACTCAGGGTAACTGAAACAATTATACTTACTCTATATATATAACCAGAGAAGCTGGAAACTGTGTGAAGAGAAACTTAAGCTACTTGATGAGACCAGGTTCACCCACAGAATAGTGAGAGAAGAATATAATCAGTGTCATAAATGTGACTGAGACTGTGCCACATAGACTATGATTTCTATGTAGGGAAGCAGTCAAGGAAGAAGTAAAAGACTTGAGTTAGTACCCTCTGACCTCAATAGTAGCACTATCATGATTCCTTCTGTGTGGCCATTTGTGGGCCCCTATTTATGTCTTACAGTTTCCTAGCCAAGAACCATCCTGCCTTGTACTAAAGACAAGACAGACAGTCATGTCTTATAACCTGAGGAAGAAATGTTAGGAATTGAAAGCCCAAAACAGCTCAATCAATAGCACTAGGGAGTGTCCCATTATCTAATTATTTCTTTGGGTCAAAGCTTTCCCAAAGGAGAAACAGTTAAGGCATTTTCTGTCTCTTCTCTCCTATGCAAATCCAATGCTTTAATTCACACTCTTGTTATCCCCTAAAGAAATTATAGACAGACCCTTACTTACAATTGTTTGACTTAAAATTTTGCTTTTACTTTATGGTGGTGCAAGGTTATATGTATTCAGTAGGAAGTGACCATTGAATTTTGATGTACTACTGGGCTCGTACATATGTGGTATGATACTCTTTTTTTTTTTGCTGGGCAGCTGTCTTGAGCCACAGCTGTTGGTCTGATATGAGATCCCAAGGGCAAACTGATACTGTACAGTATTGTGTTTGCTAACCTATGATATCCAGTAGTTTAGTTGTATTAAATGTATTTTCCAGTTATATTTTTAACTCATAATGGGTTATCAAATGTAACGCTGTCAAAACTGGAAAACCATCTGTATAACCATAATGAACTAGTTTCTCTACTTATGCTTCTTCATTGCTCCACCCACTCCTTGCATTGTTTATATCTTTTAAAAATATATCTTCGTGTGGAAGATCATATAATGTGCCCAAATTTTTACTTCTCCCTGATTCTGCCCCTTTAGCTCAGACTTTATAGTTCCTATTAAAAGAGAGCAGGGGAATATTTCCCACCCCTTGATTTTGGATTCAGCTATTCAGATTGTTTTAGATAATAGAATGGGGTAAAAGTGAATACACCCTAATTCCCAGCTTTGGCTGTAAGAAACCTGGAGTAATTCTGCTTGCTTATTCCTGAGTCTTCCATTGCTGGAGAGGCACATTTGTAGCATCTGTCATTTCCACTGTGAAGAAATTCTCTGTTTACCATATTAGGTACCACATTTCTACCCTATACAATAATCAGTCCTTATTTCCTTTCAGCTTCTACATCATTTGCTTTTTGTTTGGATATAACTCCCAAACACTGCTTTAGAGTTGGATGTTACAGCAAACTGGCTAGTTGTCCACCCAAATCTGTATTTGCTTTTCTTCTTTCAGCACAAATCCTGATTTTGCTCAGCATGGCAGTGTTCCCAGCTAGCCCTGAATATCTCACTGTTTTTCAGGGTTCTGTTGCATGTAGGGGAATACAATTCTGATGGGTATGGCTGTTTTCATTTCTGCCTCTTCTGATGGGCAAAACAGTCTTCAAAAGGGCCAGGAACTAAGTCTTCATTGTTTTTGTATCTTTAACACATAGTAAAGTGGCAGGCACACAGAAGACCCTGATTCATGTTTGCTGAATTGCATCGAAGTATTCATACGATGTAAGAGCTGAAAGTTTGGGTGTTTTAAGTCTGGGTTTCATTCTTTTAGCAGAGATCCTAAGACACCTACTCACGTATCTGTCCCCACACTCACCTCTTTTTTTTTATGTGGCTCTGGAATCATATCCTTATGTATCTGAGAGAGAATTAAAAATGGTGAACATTGCTAAACACATAATTCAGAGCACATAAGAACAGTATTTTAATATAAAAACATGAAGCCATGGCTAACAAGCTTCTCTACCTGTTAATGAGTTGACATCTCCTTAGGATTGGAGTGAGGTTGAGATGGTTAGAGGACTACCTCTTACCTTCCTTACCTGTATTGCCAACATTCAAAACAAATCTAAAATGAGGGAAATGTGAAATAACACAGCAGTGTGCAGCACCTCCTACTCTCACCAAGGGGTAATCTCAGGGGCAACTCTGGAGCTGTTTTCTCGACCAACTTCCTAATCCTGAGGTCAGTGACCAAACCAGAGAATTTTTGCAAGTGGCATTTTCTGAGCATCACCTTGTTCTCCAACATTACTAATTTTGCCTTTTCTTCTGATGTTTTCTTTCAAATATGGTCATATTTCTCTTCTGTTAAACAAAATAAAACAGATCTACCTTCAACCTTTTTCTGACTTGCTGCCCTCCACCCTTTTCTGTGGTACTGAGGATTGAACCCAGGGCCTTGACATTGACACCTTTTTTATTATTTTTATTTTGAGATAGTTTTGCTAAATTCCCCAGGTTAGCCTGTAACTCAGCAATCTTCTTGCCTCAGCTTCTTAGGGTGCTGGGATTACAGGGGTATACTGCCATGCCTGGCTACCTGCTGCTCTTTCTAATGGCCATCCCTTTTTATTTCTGTTCCCTTCTTTTTTTAACATTTTTTAAACTGAGTTTATTGGTACATTTTAGGTATACAGTACAGTTACATTCATTATTAGGATCTTGTACCTTCATATGACAGGTCTTGGTTCTCATTTTTTCCCCTTGTCCCTGCCTGTTCCCTTCTCTTTTACTGAACCTTCAGTTTTTACCTGTTCCTTCTCTGTCAGTTTCCTGAAACCTGGCTTTGGTCCATTTGCTCTACTATAATTGCCCTGGCTAAGGTTTCCTATGAGTTCCCTTATGCCAAGCCTCCTCCCATTTCTCAGTCTCCATCCTCCTCAGTCCTCCCCAAACCCACCTCGTGGTTTGAAAGAGTGGATGGCTGCTCTGGCCACAGCTCACACAGAGCTCCTCTCCAAGTGGAAAGCAGTGAGTTTAGCCACTGCTCTGTGTACACATGTGTTTCCTTTGCTAATATATAATAGGCTCAAGAGACAAGGACAAAAGATTGGGGAAGCTGGTCTCCCTACAGATTGAAGAACACAGCAGAAATAGGTGTGTGTGTGTGTATGTGTGTGTGTGTGTGTGTGTGTGTGTGTGTGTGTGTTGTGATAGACATCTAACAATACAGAATAGAAGATTTGATGGTTAATCTTTAAGTGTGCTTACTAAAGCACACTTCTGGCTGTGCTTTGGGGAGGTCATGTCTGGAGACATGACCTTGGGAACTGTATTTGGTCCCTGACCCCTTTCTCTCTGGCACTCTTCCTCTGTGCTCTGCTTCCTTGCAGCCATGAAATGAGCAACTTTGGTTCACCGGGGGCCTTCTGCCATGATGTTCCTGCCTTGAAGACAGTCAACAATGGACTGAAACATGAGCCTAATAAACTTTCCTCTTTTAAATTGCATATGTCAGATATTTTTGTCTCAGCAATAGGAAAGTTGACTAAAATAGTTTTCTCTTGTTTTCTACTATTCTTTAGTGTGAATTTTCTAGGGATGATTTTGCTTCTTTTTAAAAATTGTATTATGCTAAAAAATTTAAAAATGCTTCAGTATGTCCAGTTTCTATCATTCTTGCTTTTGGCTAAGCTTTTATCCTTTGCATGGGCTTCTATAACTGTAAAATATCTGATTTACTTTTCTTTGAGATTGAATTTTAGATGAAAGGCATTAGGCAATTTTTTTCCCCACTTTTGTGAGAACATCTCTCTATGAGAAAAAGCAGAAGGAAGTAATTGAAGATTCACTTCCATTTTTTCTAAAGCTGGGTAAAAATGTAATACACTTAAATACCCTGTAAGCTTTATTGTATTACACTCTGATGCATATTTAAGTAGTATATTAATTTTAAAATTGCTTTATTGATATGATTTATATACCATATAGTTCATCCATTTAAGGTGTATGATTTAATAGTTTTTAGTATAGTCATAAATTTGTGAAACTACTAATACAGTTTAATTTTGAAACTTTTTTTGCTTCCTTTAAAGGAAAACCTGTACCCTTTAGCAGCCACTTTTTACAGCCCTAAACAAACAATAATCTACTTTGTCTCTCTCTATTTACCTATTTTGGACATTTCATGAAAGTAATATCATATTATATGCGGTCTTTTGGAACTGATTTTTTTTGTTTCCTATAATGGTTTCTAGGTTCAGCCACATCATTGTATGTTTAAGTACTTCATTACCTTTTATGGCTGAATAATATTTTATTGTACAGATTTCCCACATTTTGTTATTCATTTATCTATTGATGAACATTTGAGTGATCTATAGTTTGGGGGTTATTATAATAGACAAATGCTGCACCTACAGGTTTTTGTGTGGGGATATGTTTTCCACTTTCTGAAATGTATGATGCATCCAGGAGTGGAATTGCTGATTCTTATGATAACACTGTGTTTGTCTTTTTGAGGAACTTCCAGACTGTTTTAATGTACTTGCTTAAAAGAAATTCATGATAGTAGAGGAGGATGGGGGATGGAAGAGGAAGAGAAGAGGGTTCATGATGGCAGTGCCATGGAGAGCTGTAGAACATGCTTAGCCAAAGCCTCAGGTCCCAGGTTGATTGCTGTCATGGGAACAGATCCAAGTTAATCTACAGAAGTGCAGCAAATCACAATGGGTGTTAGTTGTGCTTTGCCAGGCCGAGTGGCCTAGAATAAGATTTTTTAAATTGGGATAAACATGGAACAGGAGGTTCATTTTTGACCTTGGAGCAAGATGGAGAGACCAACACATTTTGTTTGTTAGCACAGGCAATTGCTAGAAACAAGGGGCTCATTGCCAAGGCTCTCCTTGTACCAGTCTGCCCTATTCAATGGCAGGCCTGGCTGAAATAATGTTTTCTGGCCATCTTTGTCCTTTCATCTGCTTATGCTAGCTACACTGTCACTTTGAGTTCTGGCTCTGCCCTTTTTGGCTCTGATTTGTGTGCAAATGCTCCTGTCCAGATGTTTAGGCATTTAGCAAATACACTTTTCTGATGCCTTGGCAGGGTTACTTTCAGATGAGGATGAATATTCGATGCTGTTGCCTGTTAGGAACACGTACACTCAAATGACCGGTAAAGTCCTTGCTTCAAACTCCCCGTGTCTCTAATTGCTTTTATAGTGACAGCTGATGCATCATTTAAAGGAAAATTCACAAGGTATGACAGGGAAAGCCAGTCCTGCTTTTTCTCTTTGCCCTTTCTTAGGGCTTATATTAAACTACCCATATTATAGAGTGGGTTGCCTGGTACAAGTCTCCCCGTGGTATAGAACACCATAGAATGGCTATTTCCATCTTTCTGTAGGAGTTTGTGTCCTCTCTTTAACCTTCCTCACATATACAGAAGCCCTTATGCACTGAATTCCAGGACATAGCTCACTACTATATATTTTTAGCCTTTTTGAACACAAACTATTCTTAGAGAATATTGAGCTCAACCTCACATTTTACAGACAGGTGAACTGAGGCTAGAAAGGAGAAAATACTTTGTCAAGGCCCCCAGATTCACAAAGGTCCTACCTTCCACACCACTCCCACTACTTCCCTGGCATCAAACTTAATCCTTCAGTATCCAGAGGCTCTGCTACTGTCCACTATTATATCCCAAAATATCTAAAGCAGTACTCAGCACATGTTCTTGGAGCCAGCCTGTCAGGATTTGAAGGCTGACTCCAACAGGGACTACTTCTGTGTTCATGTAGAAGTGACTTAGCCATCTTTGTCTTTCTTTATAAAATGTAGCTAATACTGGCACCTGCCTTAAAGAATTCTCATAAGAAATAAATAAATTAACACATTTAAAGTGATTAGAATAGGATCTTTGGCATAACAGTGGCTCAATAAATGTTGGCTCTTATCATTCTGATTGATTAGGTAAAAGAATAAATGAGTAAATACGTAAGTCCTATAATTACACCCTCAGGTGTCTGCTCAGTGTGGTCTTCTAGTCTTTACTTTCTTTTCTAAACACCCATGCCCACCTTTGGGCTGGGAGGCTGAGTTGAAAAGGGCAGATGGGAGGGGTAGACACTTGAGGTTAGAGGCCTTTTAGGCCTGCTGATATTAGTCTGACTCTAGCTACTTTCACCAGGATTTCATGGGGGAATTGGAGGCACAAGCACAGTCTTTGTGCCCTGAATACAATTCTTTGCTTTCATTTATCAGTAGTATGCTTTATAGTAGATCTTGTCTCAACCATTTCATTCATGCAAAAGCCTTTGGATGCTCAATATAATTTTGTGAAGGTTTCCAGTTCCTTTGGGCTTTACTTAGGAACATAGCAAACAAAGTTCTCTGCATCTCAAAAGGAGGCTTAAGCTGATAAAAGTGTGAATGGTAGATAACTGGAGCTTTGCTGGATATTTCTCTGCTGAGTATGCAAAGCAACTGGCCTAACATGAATGCTGTTACCTGGAAGTTGCCTCTGGGGACCTGAAGGTGCATATGAGAGGCTGTGGGGGTGGTTTGCATCACAGCCACCATTCCTGAAAAGCAGCTCAAATGTGTGACCTATACAAGTCCTGACAGGGCAAAGGAATGGGGAGAGAAGCCTCTGTTTTTGGCACTTCCCTGCCTCTTTCTGCATCGTTGATTCACTCCTCCTTCAATTTTATAAATTCAGAGATGCTGAGATGAAAGGGATTCCATGAAGTTCTTCCTCCTGGACAGGATGCTCCAATGGAGGATGCCATGGGGTTAATGAATGACTTCTAAATGTTGACATTTCAGATGTGACCTTTGTGTTGGAAAGACACATAGAAGATCAGAGAACTTTCCTGAGATCCTTACACTTTAAACACATAACAGCTACCTGTAATAATAACAAAAAAAAATGGAGACCTGACAACAACAAACTCTTTTGGGAAGGTTTTGAAAATATAGATTCCTTGTGCCCTAGAGAATTTGACTTAGTAAGTCCTAGGAGTACAGCCTAGGATTCTGAATTTTTATAGAAGTTCCTGTAGGATATTCTTTCAGTTAGAACCACAAGCATCTCAAGCAATGGCTCTCATTCTCAGCTGCCACATTATCATCACTAATTAGGAAGCTTTAACAAATTGCCCATGGCTAGGCTGCATCCCTAGTGACTGTGATTCAATTTATTTGGGTGGGAGGCTCTGCAGACTCGTGCTCTTTCAAAGGCTGCCGCAAGAATGTAGGTGTAGCCATAGTTGAGAACCACTGAAGAATAGAGAAGCTATCAATTGCTCCTTTTCTTAGGATTGTGATGAGCACCACCAGCAAGTGTAACAATCTGATGTAGTGAGACTCTCAGGAGGGAGCTCAGAGTCCATTCAACCAAGTGGTTCCCAGTTCTTCCAGTTTTATAGACAGGTCCATTCCATAAAGATATTTTGAGGAATGATAAAGAATTGCTGCTTTTTTCTCAACTTTTAATTTTCCCAAGGTAAGACATTAAAAACAAAACAAAAGCCAGCTATCACTTATTTGAACCAGTATTTATTTTTAAAAAATTAATTTGTAACATTTAACTATTAGACAGACCTGAGGACAAGCTAAAGGGAAATCTTTAAGATCGTGTATAGTTGGCTTTAAGAGGAACTTCCTCCACAGTCCTCATCCTTTCCTTGTTTAAGTGAGAACTTTTTTACGGGTCAGGTTTGGTTCAAGAGTAGCTCGATTCCAAGCCAAAGTTACACTTTTACAAAAATGGAGGAAATTGAGAACTGGAAAAGGGAAAGTATTTGGCTTTGATCCCAGCTAAGACAACAATAGGGCTGAGACCAGAACTTGCTCTCCTGATATCAGGTCACCTCCTTTATAGAGGGCAAGCCTGGAATTTCAAGCTTTTCCCATTTAACATGCATGGGGCAAAGCCTCTGGGAGTGACTGTTCAGTCCTCCCAGTCACACCTTGGCCTACATAGATAATCATGATAATCATGATAATGATTAAGGACAAGAGTTTTGTTAGCAGGCACCATCCTCAAACTCCAGCAATGACGAAGTATCAGATGTGGCAGGTTTTGGGTTGACAGTAGGGAAACTTGTTACTTCAGTTGCAAAACAGAGAAGCATATTATTGTTCCATCTCTCTAGGATGCTGTGCTTTGAACATTAAAAAAATCTGTGAAGAATTAATTTTCTGATTATCTCCTGCAGAGTCCAAGCCATCTCTCCCTTTATTATGCTGTTATTTTTAATAAGTCAACAGATTGACTAATTCTCTTGGAAATGCTCTGATTTGAGGAAATGGGCATTTTACACAAGAAAACAGATTTCAACTGCATTATCCATAAGCAGGACATTTTGGACCCTGCGTTCAGAAATGGAGAAGACATGTAAACTCTTAGATTCACACATTCAACTCAATAGTCAAAGGAGGTGAGGAAAATGAGCATGTGCAGAAGG